AGTGGGCAACAAATAATTCTCTTTACTCTTCCTCTTTGCTGGGTTGAAGAGAAATTGCAGCAGGGGCCCTGCAAGCTGAAGGGCACTGCAGCCGAGGCCTCTGCAGTACAGAGAGCCTCAAACCCAGGTTCTAGTGACCCCTCTCCCTTTTTCACCTGAGATCCAACCTGTCTCAAGAGCTGGTTTTTCACTGGACTTGAACCAAGCTGTGTAAAACTGGATGCATAAGCTGAAGTGTCCCTCATATCAGTTTGCTGTAACACAAGATGTACTGAAAACCCAGGAGCTGCTGCCAAGACAGCACCAGGCACAGCCCTGCCTGCCTGGGGCAAATGCTGAAGCAGCAGCCCCAACTTCTTGAGAAAGCTGCCACATTTGTGGGCAGCACCACCTCAAAACAGAGGGCTACACAATGGTACACAGGAGCCTCCTGTGTAAAAAGACGTGCCTTACTGCTACTTAAAGAGCATTCCAGTACATTAGCATGTAATGCAATGTACAGATTTCTAACAAATCTTAGTCCACAACACTTGCTAACACTTCATTCATTCAGGTAACTTCTGACAGAAAGGCTGGGTTTGTAGCAGTAGCACTGGTGGGAATCAAAGTGTTTAAACACATCAGTTGACGTAATAGAAGAGCTTCGAGTAAAATAAAACTGGTTTGTTCAAATCTGTCTGCAGTGCTGAATCACCAGCACTTACACATTGTAACAGGAACAGCAGCACAGAAGACGTGGCAAACCCAGCTGTGCCTTAAGCTGAGGACCTGCTTCTCAACCAGTTCATTAGCCAGGCAAATTCAGATCTGGACAAGCTTCCCATGTCCCCAAGTCCCCACTCTTGTTTCCATTATTCATTACACAAGTTGCAAGACTCCCCAGTGGAGCATAAATACTGCAGCGTGTGTGCAAGTTCCATACAGATGAAAGACCTAGTAATACTTTTTCATGCATCTTTCTACAGTTTTATTCCTGTCAAGAGGTTTTACACAGACCTGAGATAAACAGTCTTAGAAAAATCACAGAGGTTTTTGCTTTGGATTTGTCTTTGCCAAAAAAAAAAACATTTTTGTTAGTAGAAGTATTCCCTTGGCAGTGCCACCCTGAGGGCTGGGTGTCTAAAAGATGATTTCCAGCAGTGGAAGGCCTGGACCCAGGAATAAGGCAGCCTTCTCAGCCATCTGCTCATGGTTTAAGCAAGGGACAGAAAAACTAATTCTCTCCAGTTTTGCTTTCCCCCCCATCTTCAGGTTTAACCTGACAACGCCCATGAGGTCTTACCCACATTAACCCAGTGCTGGCTGCCACCCCCTACAGCAGCTGTAAGCTCTATATACAGCAACTGGGATGATGCAACTCCCCTCTTACTCCAAAGCAACCACCTGTTTTCCCA